TCCCAGGGTATTTCTCCAGATTAAGCAATGAAAAGTGAAAAAGAGGAAACAAGTGGAAACTACATGGAAGTGAATTTTAAAGAGGACAGGAGGCACTTCTTTCCACAAAGGGTGGTGGGAGTGTGGAACAAGCTACTTAACAATGTTGTTGAAGCCAATACCCTGATTTATTTCAACAAACAGCTGGATGAGAAGCTTGGAACAATCAACTACTAAGTAGCAAACGGACCGGATGGGCCCAAAAGCCTTGTCATGATTGAACCTGCTCTTATGTTCTTAAGAATACTGGTCCCAGAATCACGCAGGATGTCTACATGCGCCCAGTAACAGGAATTGTGAAGGATACACAGTATATCACGATATGTGCAGTATATGTACACAAATGCACTGTGATGAGCTGCCAGTTCCCAGCTTTTCCGTAGCTACATTGTAATTAACCACACTAAAAACAGGGAAATTGTCATAGGAAGGAAGAAGACAAATTCAGGCAAAATGGGGTCAAAACACTGCTAAGTTTTAAGTGATCCCAGAGAGCAAGGGGAGTGTGAAAACAGGGTGTTCTTCTGAATAAATACCTTATTGAGAGGAATAGAGGGATCTGTAATTGGCTCTCCAGATGTTTTACATGAAAGCCTCTTGGCCTTTGCCAAAGGGAGAAGAGCTCATCCTTCCTCCTGCCACTCAGCTCTCCCTCCTGACTGCTGTGGACCTGCGCTCCCCCAGGGACCCCCAGGGCCCAGGGCCCAATTACCACCACAACGACATTCAAACGCTCCAAAGTGAGCGCTGGAAGTCTCCGGAGTGATAGAGGGAACGGGAATGCCCTGAGGTGAACTGAAGATGGGGTCACTCTCACTCACAGTGCATTAATGGGCTGATTCTCCTGGGGGCGGCAGAGAAGGGGCTTTCAGCAGGGCAAAATGCACAGCAGTGCTATTGCTGATGCACCGAGTGGGCAGCAGCAGCTGTGACTGGGATACATGTTCTGGTTCTTCAAGTTCTAGTCAGCGCAATCCAGCTGCAGCCCCTGTGTGCTTCACCCTGTAGTGTGTAGTTAAACTGATGGCTTGCACAGCAGCTGCAGAGGGTGAAAATGCTCATCAAATCTTTACAGCCTTTTCCAGTAATCACTCACACTTCTCTATGGGTCTATTAGCTAGGCCCTGTTGATCGCAGGTGGACATTATAGTTAGTGTTGTTGCGTACTGCACTTTATTTTTGATGAGTCCTAGTTGTGCTTAGACATTCTATAAATCAAATGAAAGTTTACTTATCAAATGCACAACAATACAGCTACAATACAATACAACTTCATTGCCAGTAGTTGCTGGTAATTAAATGTCTTTTCTGCCAGCTCACAAAAATCACACAAACACAAAAATCACTATAAGCAAGTGGAGAAGGTGGCGTGACTCTATAAATTCTATTGCAGGTCTTTGGATTCCAGCACTCGAGCAGGTTAATTAACACATTCAGCCCAGAGCTCCCTGTTCGACCTCTTTTGCACACCTCTCGATGTGTTACTGTGGCTCTGGGGTGCTGGACACTTTTCCTCGTGTGTTCTCCATCCATGCTGTGTGTGGAGGTCGACCCCCCTCTCGGAAACGCAGCGGCACCATTCCACATGCCTTCGGGTTCTCTGCGATCCGCGGTTACCATGACAACCCGTCCTCCATGACATTTTTATTTTCAGGAGAAGAAGGGGGAAGCGGGGACTAGTTGAAGGAGGAGCCCTGTGTTAAAAGACAGCTACTGTACCTCCCCCACTCCCATATCTCCAGTTTAGCTCGGCAGCGTTTAAGGACGTTCCGGGCCTCCTCCTTGAACCCTTCCGCTTGACTCACGCCGTGGGTTTTGATCCGGTTGTGGGCGCAGCCTCATCTTCCATCCCGGCGCCCTGAACGCGCCCTGCTCACCGGCCGGCCTCAGCCCTGCGCTGCTCCGCGCCGCGCCGCGCCGCCCGTGTCTTTAACTGTCCCGTCTGCACTGTAGTTTCGCCGGAGGCTAGAGTTTTCACCAGCGTACCTAATTCACACACTGTAGGTAAACGACACACAAAAGACATTTTCTTGTCGTTTCCGTTTCCCCCTGACCGATTTTGAAATGATGGGACATCAGTGAAAAAGAGGAAAGACCCCACGTGTCAACCCTCTCTCTGGATTCATAAATATATTGAAATAACAAAGCAAGTGTGCACCTGATATGTTTTAACCTCTTTGAAAATAAAACTACAGAGGCACTACTAATATCCAGATCGTGGAGGGCCTTGTTTCTTCTGGTTACTGATCTAACACGAACACCCAATTAAACCATTTTATTTTCTAAATCTGACATATGTCATATTTTCTGTGGGTCTTTTAACAGGTGATTGCACAAGACCTTCTCTTCATTAAAGGTACAGTTAGCTATATTTCACCTCGGACCTTGTTTAAAGGTATAACAATTACGCGGCTAATTAATTTATTAGACCAACTCTGTAATCCAGAAGACCCTCCAGGAAATGAGTGTGAGACCCTTGTTCTAAAACATGGAGTATATTTCGTTAGTGCAGTAACAAAAGGGACTCTGGGATTACATTCCAGACCATTCAATTTCTTAATGCATTGCTTTAATTGGTCAATTCTGCCGCCCCCGGCTACGAGACTTAACTGACTGCTCATTAAGACGCACCTATAAAAACTGCAAGGCGGTAGGATTGGTATGGTCCAGAATGATATAGGGTAGTGCGGGGGGGGGGTGTTTGATCAGAAGGAGGAAGGCGCACACCGCTGTCGATAGGGTCCAGATGAGAGAGGAGATACACCCACAGCGAAAACCCTCTTCTTCGATTATGTAACACCTAGTCTTGGGCGCCCGTATTTAGGAAGTCGGGAGAATAAACCGTATTGTCTTGTTTAGAAAACAGTTGTAGAAGACGCGGGGATCACGAAAACGTTTACAGAAGTTGTGCAACCTTTCATACGCTTTTTTAAGAAATGTTTGTTGTGCAGAAGGTTTACACGATTGAACAAGTTACTTAGTTGCTTCCGTTTAATCCTTGCTCACTTCACTGCAAGGAAAATGAATCCCTTTTCGTTTCCAAGCGGTTATCTGTACATTTCATAAACTTTTTCTGGAAAAAAAACTCGTGAATAGAGCGAGAGCTAAGTGGCGCAGCGGATTGGGGTTCAGGATGAGCTTTCCACGCGTGTGCTACAAGATAAAGCCAGGTCTTTTCACCCGCGGCTTAGGCTGCGTTCAGCCGTTTCTGTGCTCAGGGTGGGTAGTATAGGCGGGACTGGCGGTGAGCCCTCCCAGGCCTCACTCTTCCCGAGTCCAGTCTGGAGCGCCTTGGCAGTATGGGGGGGAGCTCGCATGTTATCCCGTTCGTGTGGGTTTCCTCCCACCTCCCAGCGACAGGATCTGCACGTGAACTGGCCTCTCCAAATAGCCCCGGCTGTGTGAGCGCGCTGCTCTGTGGATCGTGGGTGCGGACTGTCCCGTCTCGTCAACTGGACGTATTGGGCAGGGGTTCGAGCTCTGGGGTCCTGTAAGGACGGCGAAAATGGGGGTTTGTTGTCTTCTCGAGGGCGTCCAGAATGGAGCTGGTCGGAAACTGCTTCTAAAAACAATTGCAGGGGATTGGACACTAGCGTAGTGAAGGGCATCGCCTTGTACTTGTTTTAAGTACACTGTTAAACGGAGACCTTTAGAGGTGACCACGGCGTTACATTTTCAGAACAGATCCGGTATTCTGGAAGCTGTCCTGCTGCCTTTTTTTAATAAGCAGCATCAAACCCAGTCTGTAGTACTCAGATTTTAAGCACGTTTTTTAAAAACGTATATATACGTTTATTAAAGTATCCCACGATCTTCTGCCAAACATTCATGACGCGCATAGAGGGTAATCTAGGTAAAATGCAGAAAGCTAAAAATGTTAACAGTAGATAAACGGGTATAGGCAAGTTAAGAGTAACTGTTAATAACAAGCTGATAATATTATACGGTCAGAATGGTTCTTTGTGTGTGTGTGTATGAGTGTATCTGCTCAGTACACTCATACTATATTTAATCACTGTCCCGAGAGCTCCTCTGCGCTTTCTCCGTCGGTCCACAAGACGGCGCTCAAGTACTTCAGACGAACTCGCACCGAGGGACTCTTGACAGAATACGGAGTCGCAGGAACAACAAGACGAAACGTGTTGCATTGATACATTTAAACGAATGTAGAGTTGACTAACACTATTATGATATTAGTATTGTCGGTAGTAGTAATCATAGGAGCAGAGTATTGTTAAAAGTTAGGGGGGATTAAGATTAAAATGCTTTAAGAAAGCAGAGACAAATTCAACCTTGTCATTTTCAACGTGCGTTAAACATTTTAGCATCGCCCCAAGGAGAATTACAGGAAATCAGAAACCAGACGACCAAGACCAATTCAGACTCATTTCACAAAAGAAATTCAGAAGAAATATTTTTTTTTAAATTGTCCAGCTATTTTAAAACGTCACCCTCTGGATTCCGTAAGATTTCCTCTCAAATGGGAAGGAAATGTCTTGCTTTTAAACGGTGGAGCAGTAAAATAAGGTATTTCATAAAAAGTTAATATCAGAAATCCATAGTGTATTAAAAGACTAGGTATATGTGGTACAATGATCAGAGTAATTTTCTACCGCAGTATACTTTCCAAACCGTCTACTGGTGTTGTGCTAACCCTGCTTTTACAACACTTCTTTATAAATTCACTGCAAGACCTAAATTAGGCAAACGATTAAAGATTAACTTAATTGGTATGAGGCAGCTTTGTGATTTTTTTTAATCCACAATGTTTGAATGACTTTCTTAATTAAGATTAAGACGTTTTCCCCGGAATGTACATTTGATTTCTATTTAGAATATTGTGCGGTTTTCAGCAGACTCCTGGCATATCCCTACAAACTACACTTCCCATCACCCCCCTGCGCCCCGCTCGCTCATTTCCGCTTCCCGTGCAGTGGCTGCCCTCGTTTGCATACAATTCGATTTTTTTTTCCTCTCTCTCTCCCCCCGACGAGCAACGGAAACGGCGCGAGACAGCTACACCAGTAATTTAAAACGCCAATTTAATAAGGGAGAAAAGTGTGAGACACCGATGGACTACTGTTTTTTAATCGGAAGGAAGATACTATAACGCTGTTAGTTTCTTGTGTTTTCGGGAGGGCTGCATTTTAATTTCCGATTTTGTTTTAGAGTTTTTTTTTCTTTTGAGCCAATGCTCAGCTTGTGAAAGCATTGGAGAGGGCAACGCCTGCTTCTCGGCGAAACACTGAAGGTATGCGAGGACACCACGGGATCAGGCCTTTAATTTTGCCCGTTATTTTATTTCGGGACTCGAGTTACCGTCATTAGGGTGTTCTTCTGTTTTCATCTCGGTTTTGTAACATTCGCTGCTTGCTTTCCCATGTGAGAGAGTCGGTGACCAACGCCTTTTTACCCCCACACCCTCCGACTGCTCTTCATTATTTTTTTTTTCTGTCCAAGCCCGGCAATCCCTCAGCCGTTGTCTTGGGAGAGAGTTTTTTTTCCCCCCTCCCCCGTCACTCGCTAATTTTTTGGGGTCTTGGGAATCTGGGGCTACCGAGATGGGGTGCACGCTCAGCGCCGAGGACAAAGCCGCGGTGGAGAGGAGCAAGATGATCGACCGCAACCTGCGGGAGGACGGGGAGAAGGCCGCCCGGGAGGTGAAGTTGCTCCTGCTTGGTAAGCCCGTCTCCGAGTGACCGGTCTTGGAAACCCGGGCAGGGGGGGATCGGTGGCCGTGATCGCTGGCCTCTGTCGCGGACAGATCGCGTCCCCGGTCGGTCTCCGCTGCCGCGAAAAGCGGGAGGCGGTGCCGATCGCGGGGCTGTTATCTGAACTTGTGCTTGTGGAAGAGTGCTCCGATGTCTCATCTGCTTCTGCGGAACAGCCTTGGGAACGAAGTGCTAGAGAAAAGTTGGAGAAAATGTTTCACGGGCGACACAGATCTGCCAAGTGACCGTGTCCGCACTGACCCCTGCGGTCCACACTGCCTCCTCTGTCGTGACATTTAAATGTCTTTTTCTTGCCAAACTCTGTTCAGACTGTCCTTTGAAAATATAGAAACTGATTTCCCATATTTTATTAAACGAGGCTTGTTTTTAACTGCCCGGATAGCGTAATGCGCAATAGCTGGTCTCTTAAGATGCTCTGTCGTGTATGTGATTTCAAATCGGAACGTGTTTGCTCGGTCATTGTTTGAACTTTTCATCACGGTGAGACAGAGTCTAGCGAGTTATCACCCCAGCGAGTTGTCTGCCGTTCGCGAGTTTCAGAGGCGGTTCCAGGTCTGTGAGACTCGTGGTGCGGTGGAACGGGAACTCAAGACAGTAATGAAAGCCTTCCGTCTTTATAGCGAACTGGGCTTTAAAACATCCCTCGGCACAGGGAAGAGGGCCAAGTCTCTGATGCCGCTTATTGACTAGACGTTTCTTTACTGCCCCCAAACAACGAAATAACACAAACGGGAAAACTGTGATTTAGAGAAAAAGATGGACTACAATAGATGGGAGAGCCATGCTTTTATATTCAGTTCGTACAGCCGGCGTTGTTGACAGTAAATCAGTTTGCCTTCGCTCTGTAAGCACTTCTCCCGGCGTTTGTACAGCTGTTGGGAAGCGAAATCCAGTTTTTTTTAGGGCACCCAACTGCCCACAGCTTGACAGGCACTATAAAGCAACAGTAGTGTGACTTTAATGGGCTTCAGAACCTTTTCTGGATTAAAAGATAAAATGAAGTTACTAGATCACCCAATCCGCTTCTGTTACTTATTAAAATGCAGGCTTAGGGGGATAAGGCTGTCCTGGTAGTTGTGCATTTTCCTCAAGCTCTTTAAAGTGGACTCAGCTCTTGTGTTGTTCCCTTGATGCTCTTCTACAGAGCTGTCAGACTCCCAGAAGAAGCAGCTTTCTGATAAAGCCTTGGAAAACATTCAACCATTATTACTGTTACGTGAGTGTCAAACTGTGGGGATTGTGGAACCGCCAGTGGTCTCCGTGTCCTATGATGTCATTAACATTCCACTTTGTGGTCATGCTAGCTGATAGTGTCTTTCAGTGTGCTCTAATTTGTTTTATTTCAGGCCTGGTGCCAGTGCAAACAGCTATACTGCATTTGCATGGCTGCTGTATCGGGAGAGCCTGTGGCATCGGCAGCTACTCAGATTAGATCAAAGCTTTATGGAAAACTTTGAATTTTGACACTCGGAGACCTGCAATACAGAACATCTGTAGACACTGAAGTGTGTAGTCTTTGGAAACAGTCTTCCGCAGTTAAAATACATTCATTCTGATTCATAATACTTTCTCCCTAGTGTACTGTACCTGGGCTTATAGGGGTATAAGGCACTCTAGATATGTTGTTGAAGTGTAACAAAACGTGTTTCTAGACCTCTGTTCTGCAGCCTTACAGTAGTTATTATATAGAAAAGAGGGGAAAAAATAAATGAAGATAACCATTTCCCCTCCTTTCATTGCTTTTTGGTATTTTATCAAGTTAGGCCTTTCTAGCACATTACCTACAAAGATCAGCGAAAGCTAATGTAAGAGACTTAATTAGTTTTAAATTGCTCAATCCCTGTACTTTTGAAAACGCTCGGTGTCTTTCTTCCTAAAGGTCATGAAAGATCTGCTGGAGCTGGAGACTTGTTCTCTCTGCGTCATGCATGAGCTGCCTGTCTGGCGCTCTCCGCTCTCAGCAGGCTGTTGCTGCTACTGGAGGTCCTTTCCCGATTGCTCTCTGGGCTTTTACCATGCTTTGGTGCAAGAGACTGTACTTCTCCTGTTACCAGTACAAGAGGACAGATGAGAAAGTAGTAGTTTGCAGTCTTTCAGTAGAGTGTGCTGTTAGGTCCCATTCAGTCTTTCTTCAGTTCATTACTTTATTGCCATGCGAACAAAGTTGATTGTATTTTTCTCTAGTGACGGTTGCATAAAAGCAAAAAAACACACTTATACATACAATATATTAAGGTACCTAACGTCTAAATAGATGCTATTTCAGAAGCGAGCACTACTACATTTGATGCTTTGGAACATTCTCCCCAAAGGGAGAAGTTTAAAAAAGTGAGTTGGCAGGATGGAAGGGGTCTGTGGGCATCTTCTGAGCTTTCTGTTTGATGCGGCTGTCGTAAATAGAGGCGACAGAGGGAAAATCGTGTCCGGTGATCTTGGAGGCTGTGTGCATGACTCTTTCCAGCTGTTTCCTCTCCCGGACAGTTGTATTGTTGTACCACACTGTTATCGAGAAGGTGACCACACTCTAAAGCACAGTTCTATAGAAGTGTTATTGCTTCCTGATAAACTCATAGGGAGTACAACTTTTGATGGGCTTTCTTCATGATGAGGCTGGTGGTAACTTCCTGCTTCAGTGAGTGGCAGATGGTTATGATAAGAAACTTGGGAGTCCACTCTCTCTACAGTCTGGCCATTCATGACAAGTGGTGGATCCCATAGTAGTTTAATGCAACTCAAGGAATGAGAAAGAAGCCATTTGAAAAATTAGTTAAACCAAGTGCTATAGAGCAACGAAATGCTGGGTAACAAAAGACCTGTCCTAAATGAGTCTTCAGACTGCCAAAGAGAAATGTGGTTGCTATGTATGTACTTATCGGACTCTATCAAGTCTACAAGCGGGGCCAAAGGGATGACATTCTGCCACAGGTGAATGGCAGGAGTTTGCTCAGTCCTGGGTGCAGACGTGGTAGAAATATTTTTTTCTAACAACAAAGTAATTGTAATTGGGGAATACAGAAGATGTGCAGTTGAGATTTAGAGGATTCATGAGGTTATGGCTTGCTCTAGGGCTGTTGTAAAGGTTCTTTTTGGGGAAACCCAGTGATGTTGACCTTTCCTTGCTGTCGTTTGTGTATAAAAACCCATACCTGATGTAATCCTTGGATTTACTTTTATAGATGCAGGTATGCACTGACTGAATTTTGCTTTGCTGTGATTTTGAAGATAGTTCACAGGGATCTTTCTGGTGAAACGGTGATAGTGATCTGTGTAGTAGAACAGAAATGTCAATTTCAGTAGAAGTCTGCTGGAAGCTAAAATGGTGTTGGTTTTAGTGCAGCATTAGTTTGCACAAATCATCCAGTATGCAAACATTTTTCTTTTGAGTGCAAGTGTTAATGTTTCAAGCAGTATATTGTCTGATCTGTTTCCTTTCCCGAGTACTGTGCTTAAATAGCCAGTATGTCACAATTTGGAGCTTTGGAAAACCTCAATTTCCATGCCTCGTATAAAGCTTACAGGCATGCAAGTCTAAAATATTGAACCTCATAGAGAACCTTTTATTACAACAAAATTGTATCACGTCATTAAACCCCCCTTGGGTTTTATTTCAGAAAGAAAGTATTATAAGCACAAATAAAGTGAAGGTGATGGGCATTAATTAAATTTACATAAACTCTGTTGGCAAGTTTGCAGATGAGAGACAGCATCCTGTTGCTCTCCCAATCTAAAGCACCACTTTGTGCTAGGTAGTGCTCATTGAACTTCACCTGCTTTCTTCTGATTGTAGAGAATACTGAATTTGAACTATATTTTGAATATTAAAGACCCGAAGAGTGAGGGTCCTTTGTCAGGAATTGTGGGGAAGAAGTTGAAATAGACTGTTCCAATAAAAAAAACACCATTTCCAAAGAAGTTTTATTCTGATGAACATTTTAAACTTGAATGATGGAGGTTCAAAAAAGGTTAATTACGTGATGTCTTTGATTTGGGCTTGCCCTGTTGTGGAGATGTTGCATGCTTTAAAACTTCTAGCAACTCCTTGCCCTGCTGGCAGTATTCTGAAAGGAGCTGGCTGAGAACCTGAGCTCCAGATGCTGCTACACTATGAGTTAGTGTCAGCCATAGGATGGGGTTTCATTTAGACAAAAAAGCAGATCTTGCAAGCCACAAAACTTTGCATAGCTGGAAAACTCAGTACTTGCTGTTTTGTTTGACCTAAAATAGATTTGGGAAGTCATGACTGAAAACGTATATGTAACCATGGGTTTCACATGCATGCCAAAGGATTTATTCAGTTGTTAACAGCAGAATACTCTTGGCAAAACCCCAGTACAGTTCAAACTGGTGAGGGACTTGATTCCAAAAAGCTTGAACCCATCATCTGTTTTTCTTGGTTACAAGTTTCCTATTTAGATTTTTTGTCAGTAGACTAATTGTATTGTCTCCATGTCTCCTACAATCCTGGATGCCTGGTTCCTCTCTTTGTGTTCTCTAATCCGCCCCTGACGACAGCAGTTCTCACACTGGAGCAGCTGCACTGTTCTGCCCATTGTGTTCTTTGGAGCACTGCTTTTCTGAGCCATGGGGCCACTGTCTTTCAGCGCTACAGGGGATTCTGAGGTAGCCATTTGGGAATAAAATTAAAAATTCAGTTTTGCTTGAAAGGATGTTTGCTCTCCCACTTAGTGTATAAATATAGAGTGGTGTAAAAAACGGGAATTATTAGTTAAACTGACCTGACAGAATGAGGTGGTACTTTTCCATTCATGCCATCACATGCATGGCACATACAATTAAGTGAGCTAGGGGGGTGATCAAATACCAAAAGGATTATTCTACACGAGTGGATGTGAATGTAATTTTATGTTCCTCAAAAAAAGAAATATTCTTGACATTTCTAAAAGATTGATCCTCGTACATTTTCCGTAATAAAACTTTGGAATACCA